TTGGAGTTTGAAGGGACAAAACAGAGTGTATAAACCAGGATACCACTGACCAGGATACCACTGAAGGAATGCCTGGTAAACTAGCTGGGAAGTCTGGAGACTCTACAGCAGAAGAGACCAATAGAGCCCTGCTTCTTGCTGAGCAGGCCATGCAAATGTGCAAATCAAACAATGAGCTGTTGGTGATAGCACTGAGCTCATCTAATACCGAGAAGAAGACCAAGATCAAGCCAACCCAGTTATTTGACGGGAAAACTCCATGGCTTGATTACAAGGTGTATTTCCAGAACTGCATTGACAGTTATGGCTGGAGTGATGAGGAGAAGTGGCAACAGTTGACGAACCAGTTGAGAGGAGACGCCCAGCAGATAGTGCAAGAGCCACTCCTACGATGAGCTGATTGAGGCACTAACTAAAAGATTCGGGCCGGGAGAAAAAGCTTCCATGTATGAAGCTGAACTTACCACCAGGACGAGGAAGCCGAAGGAGTCATTGCAGAGTCTGGGTCAGAACATAAGGAGACCAGCTGCTCTTGCATATCCCCAAATGCCTCGCTATTGCCAGGACACATTGGCCAGGAAATGTTTTGAGAATGCAATTACAGATGATGAGGTGCGAGCAGCGTAGATCAGATAGGCAGAGCTGAGTAGAGCAGACAGCTGTAGGAGAGCAGGGTCGAGCAGACAGCTGTAGCAGAGAAGAGCAGTCAGGCAGAGTAGAGTAGTGCTGACAGTTAGAGCAGAGCTGACGGACAGAGCCGAGTAGAGCAGACCGCTGCAGCAGAGCAGAGCTGACAGGCAGAGTCGAGCAGAGTCTACAGGCAGAGTCGAGTAGAGCAGACAGGCAGAGCAGAGCAGAGCAGAGCAGAGCAGACAGGTAGAGCAGAGCAGACTGGCAGAGTAGAGAGCAGTGTAGAGCAGACAGCTGTAGCAGAGTAGACAGCAGAGCAGACAGAGCAGAGACAGACAACTCAAAGTCAGAGTGTTGATTCTCAGTGTATATAGAGACATTTTATTTGATTTACTGGCCATAAAGGCATTTGAGGACATTTGCGAAATTGATTGTTATATATTTAGTGTTCAATAGATTGTTAAAATCCCGTAATTGATTGTTTTGTATATCCCTGTGTTCTCCATCTCCTAGCTCAGTGACAGCCGAAGCACCAAACCAGCTCGGCGCCCGTGAGAAACACCTCCGGATCCCTTATCATCGCCACCAGACCTTCTCCGAGGGAGTACGGGTACTCGGCGGGAGTCTGGCGCGCGACAATTTGCAAATGAGTGAGTGGGCTATAATATTAGTCTAGCTTCAGTGCATTGCAGGTGACTGTCCAGATGTGAACATTGAATTTGAATATAGCAGAATATTTGTAAGTAAGCTAAGATCAATAATAGAGAGATTTCGCACATAAGTGAAAGCACATCTTATACATATACGTATAGTTTAAAGGGTCATGTCGAACTATTATATTTACTAAAATCAATTTTAAATTGTACTTAATGGAACATAACTATTCCCGTTATAGAAAAGCTCCATCAACTAGAGACTATGAATGCACTGTCATCTGCACGTGCAGATTATGCACATTATAATTAAATGCTTGCTTCCGTGTCCTTGTAGTTGTAGTGTATTATAAACACGATCCTTTAAAGGGAGTCATGATTCTTTAAAGTGAGTCATTACATAAACAAGTTGATTATAACGAGCATCTCCAAAAAGTCAATTTGAGAAGAGATGGGTCTATAACATATGTACTATATATGAGCCTATTTTATTCTAGACAAACACATTTGGATCAATTAAACATGCTACAATTCAAGAAAGTGCAAATGGCATCCCTTTGACCTGTATTTATTACAGTCCAAAAAGATCTTTCCTGACGAAAAGCTCACATTATGAAACACCTTGTACGTTTACCTATAAGTATAAGTATACGTTATAAGTTGTACTTTCACAAGGTGCGAAATCTCTCTATTGTAGATTGCAATAAAAATTGATGAATTGTTTTATATCATTACCCCATATGTATTCTAGATGCTCATTGGCTTATTCATGGCCACATGATATGAAAAGATGAACTAATTCCCTGGAAGGTCCTAAATCCCTGCAAACAGGAAAGATGAAATGTAATCAGCAGTTATAGTAAAATCATAAATGTTTGTGAGTACTTTGAATTTAAAAAATAAGCAATCAAATGACCAAATTGAAACATATGTAAAAATAGAAACATTTATATTGATCCTAACTTTTGTATATTTTATTTTGTTTTGTAGTTTAGCTATCATATCTATGTCCTCTTATATTTTGATACTTCTCTGCCATGTTATTTTCGGAAAAATTAACATGGCCGAGACTCCTTAAATTACAAAAGGCCATAGTTTTGCTGCACATTATACATTACTATCTGAAATAAACAAAAGTTAGGATAAATATAAATCTTTTTATTTTTACATAAACTGTTTCAATTTGGTCATTTGATTGCTTATTTTTTAAATTCAAAGTACTCACAAACATTTATGATTTTACTTCAGGTCATGTGACCAGTCATTAGTACATTTTATCTTCCCTGCTAACTGGAATTATAGGAGTTGAATGGCAAGATGCCTTTAAATGCCAATAAGAGCCTTTATAACATACCTATGATGATGTATAGTGCAAAGTGTACACAAGACAGCGGGCCAATATAAGTTTCGAAAAGCCCGCGCCCGCTAACTTCTGATTGGTCAAGGCGCTGACGTCATAACCAATCAATCGAAGATAAAACTGCGCGAGCAATTTTTCTAAACTCATTTCAATCATTTTCAAACCATTTATTTGTCAATTCTTTAAGAAAATGGTACTCTCTGACCAGTCTACATCATCATAGGCATGTTATAAATCGTTTATGTCACTATCGTGGCACATGTGCCCTCGGTTCTCAGAGATCAATGTCCCTCCCAAGGTCGGGCCATATATCACTGAGACCTCGGGCATATATGCCACGATAGTGACATAACCTCTAAATACGCATTAAGATTTGAAATCAAAAGACTTCATTTTATTTTTATTTACAGAGTACTTATGGGGCATATAATAAAACAAATAGTGACTGCCACATTTTCGGGAGATAGTATAAAAAATTCCCTCTGGAATATCCTGTCCACCGACATAGTACCGAGGCTGCACCATGTCAGTAGACAGGATGTTCCTTCAGGAAAAATATTTTACACTGTTTCCTTCAATGACAGTCACTATTTCTATACTAAAGAATGTACAGTAACAAGAGAAGCGGACATGTACATTTGTATTTTGTTTTGAGGGGATGGAAACTATCAACAAGGCATCAACAATATTATGAATCTTTTTGACCTTGGGAAGGTCAGTAATGGTCAACATCTCAAATCTATAGTTAGATTTTAACTTTTGAGAACTTGTAGATGATTTTGAAAAAAAATTGGTCAATTTGAAGCAAGTTGAAAAAAGACCTTTTTGGCCTTTTTGACCTTAAGAAGGTCATTGAGGTGAAATCTCAAATCTAAAGTCAGATTTGAACTTCTGAGAACTTGTAGCTGATTTTTAAAAAACCGGTCAATTTGAAGCAAGTTGAAAAATAACTTTTTGACCTATTTTGACCTTGAGAAGGTCATCGAAGGTCAAATCTTAAATTTTAAGTCAGATTTGAACTTTAGAAAACTTGTAGATGATTTTGAAAACATTAAAGTCAGTCTAAACAGTAGTCCAACAACATTAGACCAAGCCTGAGCCTCGCTTCCTATCTGACATGTCTTATGGCCCTGGTAAGGTCTAACCGCCATGATCATTTTGCATAAAGAATGCGATTCAAGCATGCATACATAGCTTATGAATACATACACACCATTCCGTATCCCCCTTAGACCCTATTGATACATAATTACGAAAATATTGGAGACAGATTTGGAATATTACGAAAATGTCGGTCAGTTCTGGTAACATCGAAATTGCAAATCGTATCAGAATGTAACCGTCATTGGGGCATTGCATTAACAAACAGTAGGTTTGCAATTAATAACTATTTTGCGTATATACACGCGCTATATTAATCAATCAAAGATACCTGTTATTTCAAAATAGATATTTTTATCCCGAGTAATCGCGATAATACATGTAATTGTGAATCTATTTGACAACAATTTCGTTTCGCTAATAGTTTAAGTTTAATCGAGACACCCGCGGACGAACAGACACAATGACGGACATGCGGAAATGTCATTTTAGAGATTGGTAAGTGTAGCCTCATTTTACTGGTATAAATGAACATTTAACAAAATAATATTGTGTTAAATCGCTTGATATTACGTGATTTTATATTATTGTCAATTTTCAGTCGCGGAAAAATGGTTTTGACGGATCCAGTACTTGCAATAAAGGAAAGAATAGTAAGGAGGTTAAACTCAATAATGGCCAGGAAAATTCCTAATAGTAAAGAACGCCGTTGTTGAGTTTAACGACGTTGAACTATCTAAACAGTATTTGTTAAGTTATTGGAAGTTATCAGAATTTGGTACAGACGCCGATCTTCAAACGCCAACCACCAACCGCCGATCGCCGTCACAAAAAATGGAGACCACCCGTTATGTCACTTCTTGGTGGTGACATAAAAACGTCAATCGTCATTTAGGTCACACTGGTTTTTGATAGCTTGCCAATTGTACATTCTTTAAAAGCAATGGAAAAATAATGCACTTTCCTTTTGATAAAACCATGCATTCTTAAAAATAAACCACAGCTCATTCTATTGTGTTGCTACCTAAATACGGTAAAAGTTAGGAATAATACGATACGGACCCCATGGGTATCCTTGTTTCTCGTTCTGCAAAATGTCAATGAAATATTCACCATTATCTCTCTTTCTAAATTTTTAGGGAATGTATGATTGATATCTTGCATTTTATATCATAATATAGTACATAAGACGAACAGATGTAGTATGGCGTATTCAAAACAAATGATTTACAGAATAAATGATTTAAAATGTTTACATTTTCCCAGGTGAAGTCAACCATTGGTCGTGATAAACTGAACTCATCATCGATATGCTTCCCCAGTAGTCCGATCATAACTGCCTGCAGACCCCTTCCGACATTCTGGACGACCAAATGGTTGCTGAATACGAGATGAAACGGAAATACATCGAAGAATGTTTCTGAACTGATCGGTAACTGTCGCGAGTTTAATGATCCAGTCGCATCCTCATTCCTATATGTTTTATTGTCGAATTTCAATTTCATTACGACATGTGTCATTTCCCTCGTTTCATTCTCACTGACGACTTCTACTTGAATCTGTGTATTATACAGTTTACGTCCTACCTCAATAATTTGTCCTTTTACGTATTTTACGAAGCCTCTACGCCTACTCCGGTAGTGAAGCAGAAGACCCTGGCGCGATTCTTGCTCTATGAAGAACGAGGGCGGTTTAAGCTTCGGGTAGCTAAAGCGTAGATATTCGTGAAGATTGTCAAGGTTGTTTAAGAAATCCCTAAAATTTCTACCAAGTACCCTTAAGATTCGATCATATCCAAATCTTCCGACGAATCCCACAAATGAAAGTCCAAATCTTTCCATGAGAACATCACGCGGAACATTTGTTACTTCGTGCGCTGCTCTGGATATCCGTACAACCATACTCTCGCTGTATGGCTTGTGAGTTATAAATGTATATGGGACATCTGCCTTCTTTCGAATGGCCTCCCATGTTTCCTCTCCGAACTCTTCTTTTATGAGTTCCTTAATACTTTGAAGGAGCAGTCCGTACATTGTTTCAGATTCTTTTTCCTGGAACATACAAAAACATATTACTAGATATAGTACAATACTATTACTTCTATTACTTTAAACGGTTTTAGTGCTCAGTGTATGTTTATATAAGTATTCATTTTTAAGAAGGGAGTGTAGGGTTCCACATGCACCCGAAAAAGATTTAATTACACTTTTTACACCGACATGATGTCTACTTCAAGAATTTTGATATTAGAATTACCATCTTACTTCCCCGAGTGACCGTTATTGAAGGGTTATACACCCCCCCCCCCCCCAGACCCACTCCTATTTGAGGCAATATTTTTTATTTCTTCAAATATCTTTGAAATTTACATTTTTGTACTGTACAAGACAAAGATTGATTTTACAGTATAATGGTAAGGATATTTCATGTGCAGCTTGGCTTCGAGCATTCATGTGCACAGTACTACAGTAGATGCCAAACTCTTGATTATTCATTGGAAAACATTACATAATATATATCCATTAACGATTGAAATATATTGAAAATTGTAATGTTATTAGCAATGTTAAGCATAATTTTATGAGTGTATAAAAATAAGAGATATATGGACATTTTTTGATAACATCACTTTTGAACAAATTATTGGAATAAATAAGAATAAACATTATGAAGAAGTTTTAATAGCCAGGACAGCAATACAAAGGATCTAGTGCACCCTCAATTATGATCTCCCCATTAGGTCAGCAGCTGAGCAAATTTTAGAAAATAAATTTGTCCCCTAAGTTTCTCACTGGATTCATGTAGAGCAAGGTCTTGGGCTTATTTTGAGCTTGGGTTCTCTGCCATACCCTTATAAAAAATTCAACCTTGAAAGTCCGAATTTAAACCGTTGCACAATCATTGTACAATCATTGATCCGATCATTTATGCAACCATGCCAACCGTTACAATGCAACCATTACAATTTTGGTTGTAAACTCATTGAAAATGTTTCAATCATATGTAAGCATTGTAAACGCTTGACAATTTTGATTGAATTTCTTGCAACCGTTTCAATCGAATGCAACCCTTTAAACCTATGGCAATATTATCTCAATACAACATAAAATAATTATATTGCTCTTTAAAATATATATTTCAAATGTATGTATTTCATGCATACATGTCAGAATTTAAATTTTTTTGATCAAAAAGATATTTAAAGTATTGAAATAGTTTAGTAAACTTGTCTTGTGAATGAAAATATATTGAACCAATTTCCATCTAACTTTGAAGGATGGTGATTGTCCCACTCACATGTATATTATCTAGATAACAGCAATGCTAAGGCATAGCAAATCCCCTCGCTGTCATGACAATCATTTTTACAAAATCCCTTCACTACTTTTTAAGTTATGGCAAAAACATTTGAAATAATTTTGATTTTACAAATTCAGACACTTATACTTCACCTTCACCTGAGTAATTATCAGAAAATAATCTGTTTATTAATTTGATATTTTTGATTTGATAGAGAAAATGCAATCAGACATTACAGGATGTGTTTTAAATAATTAAGTCAATAAGCATAACTTAAAAAATTCTGATTACAGAAAGACTCAGTCTCTTTAGTTTGATTAGAGTCTGCTTTGAAGGATGTGTCTTAAGAAACGTTATTAATCCATTAATCCATAAACAAAACAAAAATAATTTGGCAAGGCAAAACAAACCTTATAACAGAGAGACTCTCAGTTTGATTAGAGTCTGCTATAAAGGAAGCATCCTATGTAATTTAATTATTCCATACACTGTCACAGAACATGATAAATAATTTGCCAAAGAAAATTTCCCATATTTTCCTCCAGATTTTTTCAAGTTGAGAGTTTTGAAAAATAAGCCCTGTTTTTAATCATTGACACATATTATTTAAACTGTTTAAAACAAGTTTCAAGTACAAATGCTATGCCCTAGTGAATACAGTAAAGCCATGAACTTTCAATTTATTGAATGCCCATGGTAAAAAAAACTAAATAAAAAATTCTGAAAATAGTATTTGCAGTTTCACATACTTGCTATTTGAGATTTCTCAGCACTTATTAAAGTAATTGAATAAAGAAATAAACCCTCAAAAGTCTGAAAACACTTTTCAAATTTTTACCCCCCCCCCCCCCCCTCTGCATGAAATAGAGAATAAAAAAAAAATATATAGTATAACACAATATGAAAATAAATATAACAGAAACTAGGAATATGAACCCTATTTCTGGTCAAGCATTTTAATTAGCTGTTCAACCGTTTTAATTAGCTGTTCAACCGTTTTAATTAGCTGTTCAACCGTTTTAATTGGCTGTTCAAGCATTCTGATTTGCCTAAACCCATGAGAATATCAATATGTAGTAGGTATTGTTTGATCATCAGTCTGATCATGAACAAAAACCATTGTGTCTCATCTTGTGATTTTGTTAAGTTTAAAGGAAATCTTAAGATGTTCCTTGGTCAATTTCTTAACCAAATTGGAATTTTGCTCAATTCTAATTCATAATTAACATCATTTTGGCAATATCTGATAAAGGGAAAAAAACACTAAATATGGTACTTTTAATTTGTGTAAATAATGTAAATGACAGAGAACATAAATTATCATATGCCATTGAGTGGAAAACTAGTCTGGTATCGCATTCCTAAATTCGTACTGGAGAAAGAAACATATTAACATGAATTAAGTTATTTACTATAATAAACATGCATGTATGCTTGCAGAAAAAATATCCTAATATACTATTGTTTAATAGAGGTAGATTCAAATCCTTACTTAAAGATAATTTTAATTCAGGTAAAATGATAATTTTTTGGAACGATACTAATTCAGGATGGTTGCAGGGGTTGAACTATGTAATCATTGAACAAAACATATTGCAACCATTTACATTTCAATGTGAAATGGTTGCAGTTAACAATGGTTTCAGATTACAATGATTGTATAGAAACGGTTGCGCATTCGTTGAAAAAGAGTTGACTTCGCTTGGTTGAACACAATGGTTGCACAATGATTGCGTATCATCGTACAATGGTTTTTCCTTTGATCTTGGTAGTTGAAACAATCATTATTCAATGATTGGTGGAAACGGTTTAAATTCGGACTTTCAAGGTTGAATTTTTTATAAGGGTAGCCCCGGCAACGAATGTGAAAACTGGTCCTATAGGTGGCGCCCCCTACAATTCACCCCCAAACTTAAAACTAATTATTATTTTCATAATTGAAACATAAAGACATCTCAAATAGCTTAAATTGATCAATGGTACATTAAATTATGCATTAAATTTTTTTTCAATGTGTGAAAATCATAATTAATGGAGAAATAGTTGATTAACCCCTTAAAACGCCCCCTATTTTAAAGGGGGTACTTAAGTTAACTTCCGTAACTTTTGTGTTATTAAGGATTCTGGCTTAAAAATATTCCTGAATATGTATAATTATGCTGTTGAGAGACTGCAGTAACCCTATGTTCATAGCTTTATCACTTTTTGAGAAAAAACAACGTATTTCCATATAATGTATTATTTTCAGATTAACCATCATCTATACTTTTTAATTTACTTTCCACACCTTATACCCATGCATAGTATTGACAGTTTTCTTTCATTTTAGACCAATATAGATGACTGGAGTTCATAATAGTTCATAATAATAAATAATAAAATAAAATTTAAGCAGAAATAATTGATTTACCCCTTAAAATGCCCCCTATTTTAAAGAGTGTGTGTGTGGGAGGAAATATTTTTGAAATTCACATGCATTGAAAGCTTATGATGTTTGGCAATGAATGTTTTAATATGCTGGTATTCATAATGGTGAGTTTAATATTAATAGCAAATGTGAACCATCCAACATTACTGAATAAAAGCAAAATTATAATCGATTTTACATCATGAGCCAACCCCAAACCTGATATATCTCCTAGCGACCATTAAGTCCATGTTTTCACCAAGATCCACAATCCAATAACTGAGTTTTAAATACTCTAGCATGTATTCCAAGAGGATGAACCAATGTATGGGCTTATATAATTAAAGATTCAATCTCTCCTTGCAGGTTTCTTACTAACATGTAAAGTAATTAAAACAATTACTACTTAACATATATTGTTTTTTGGATTGTGCTGTTACAATGACTGAATCACGTCAACACAATCAAGAAGTACATGTATTTCTCTTTGTTTGCTTCATCAAGTGATCTGAAAGATGAGAAGTAATAATGTACATACAGGGTTTTTCATATCTTTGCACCCCCCCCCCCATAAACTCATACATCTAGCATTGCTACCCTATCATTTTATGTATCATATCGAAAGTTACATAGGATTGCAAAGTTCCAGAATCAAGCTGTATCGCTGAAAAAAGATACATTGTATCAAAGATTGTGGATACGGGGTCATTTAGAGGGCATTTCCTGGTGATTTTTGGACTCAGGCCGGTGATCTGTGCACTTTTTCTCATATCCATTTTTAATGATAGAGGTCACACCAGGGACCCTGGCCTCTCCATAAGCCACTGCAAGAATCCTATTTATACATCTTTGCGCATAACTGTCACACTCATGTGCACTGAACTCTGCCATGATGACAACTGTTTGAAATTTGCAATACAGAAACTCAATTTCCCCTTAAAAGTGACCTCAAACTGACCAGAAATTCCCCTCAAAATGACCCGTACACACATACTTTGATACGGCATTTCTTTTTCCAAGGATACCGCTATATTCTGAAACTTTGCAATCCTATGTAACTTTCCATAAGGAGTAAATATATATATAACATGATGGTGTGGCAATGTGACATGTATGAATTTATGGGGGATGTATCCATATAAAACACCCTGTATGCATATATTGGTTAAAGTGTACAGATATAAATATTTCTCCATATAAAGAAAGATATTTACTGGTTGTGTTGTAGTGATTGTGCCAACAAAACCCAGTATATTGTGTCAGCACAATACAAAAATGATAAATATATAGCTCCAATTAGCTCTTCTATAGCCTTTGGTGATTCCCTAGAATGCCATGGAGGTG